CCTCAGTATTAACGAAGTAGGATCCACGCTCACGATTTGACAAGAGGAGTCAGCAGGGGTTAAAGCATGAGTAAAAGAAGACAATAAGAAGCCCAACTGTCCTCCTTAGACGTTACTCAAGCGGGGGAATATCATACAGAAGTTTCCGAAATCACCCCCACACGTCTTCCACGACCCTGCTGTCGGACATCTTCTTTTGAAACTTGGTTTGCTCGAACAAAATGATTCTAGCTCCTTGAGGTGCTGTTAGCATAATTTTGGGTAGACGATACTCATATGGGCTTGCTGCAGCTGCTTACAGAATAGTTTTCGTCTGATATGGGCTTGCTGCAGCTTCTTGCAGAATAGTTTGTGGCTGATATGCCGGGGCCTGTGCAGCTATTGGCAGAATAGTTTGTGGCTGATATGGGCTTACTGCAGCTGCTTGCAGAATATTTTGAGGCTGACTTTCAAGAGCGGTTCACCGACTCTCGTGTCGCTAGCTCTTTGAAACCTTCCGCTGATACTGAGGGTTGGAAATTGCTGCTCCCGACGAAATCCTTATTCTGAATTGTGGCGGCCTGTCTCTTATTGATAGCATTGGTGTCTTAAGACTTATTTCGTTCACCTTCCTGCTTTTTAGCGGCTTTTCGAACAATGTCAACGAATAATTTCAGAAACCTTCCATCACCTCTCGAAAAAATAAGTGAGTTGACTACGTATTTCAGATAGGCGAATGATTGACAGATGACTACGGCATTTGAAGAACGTTCATTTGCTTTAAAATATGGGCTGGAAAAGACCATGTAGGGCAGGCATGATACACAAAAAAGCAGAATAATTAGTACCACTGTCCTGGAAATTTCTCTCTCTTGTATTTGCCTCGGGTTCCTTTCTAATCGTGAAGGACTGGTTTCAACATCATTGGAGACACTCTTGATCAGTTTTCTTCTTTAAAGAAAATAATACATGTTCGAGGAGAAGGAAATCACCATAGCCAAGAATGATACGGATCGAATAATCGTAAGAAATATGGGCTCTTCTTCAAGCGGAACGAAGGGAATAGACTGTTCACCTTTGATGGCAAAGATTGCATAGATTCCAACACCAGGTATTGCGGAAATTGTTAGCACCATCGATATTCTCTTGGCTGTAAGATAAACCTGTCTATTTAAGGCTCTTCTTAGGGTGTCATTCAAACTCAATGCTTAGCAAGAAGAATGACGTAATATAGCTCCAAAAGAGGAAAGAACCAAGAACCGCTTGTATAAATAGTAAGTTTCGTCGACGAAACTCGGCAGGCGACGCCACCATTGTGCTTAACGCCAACAAGATTTCTACTGCACAACCAAAGAGGCCTATTGAAGTAAGGCTAATTAAAATTAAACTCGTACTCTTTCCTCTGAAAACGCCCGTAAGTCGTAGAACTGTAAGAACCATGGTGTTAGTAATAATGCCCATCGCAGCTAAGAGAAAAAGAAAGACTCCCAAGAATATTCTAACTGAAATAGAGATTTCCTTTCCCATCTAGTTACTCTCGGACTCGGTGGAGGACGAATTTCTTGAGGCTAAATTTCCTGTCGTCAACGTGTGCTTCTCAAAGCCATGGGACCTTGATTAGCATCTCATAATCTGAGACAAAAATCCGTGAAAGAAAATCACAAGCGAAGCGATAAATAGTTGTAAATGAGGCGCTGTCCATAAGGAGACTTGCATAAAAAAAAAATAATGTCGAGTACCGGTAAACTAGTGTTATATAAAATTTTCGTTCTCGTCAACCATGGAGGCAGCAGTAGCGGCCAGTGCCTGAAATTGTATCCCTGAAACTCAGAAATGGACGAGAAAAAATGTTTCAGAAGTCTACTTTCCATGTGAAAAAATTAAAAAAAAGGCTCTTGTTGATCAGTGGAATATTGCTGTAGTACGCCAGCCTCAGAAAGAACTTTTGTTCCTCGAACAATCTGAAAAAAAGCTTGAAATTATAGATGACAAACACTTTTCTCTCTATCTTTTTTGGTGGAAATGTCAATGTGCGCAATTTTGATAAACGCATGTTTCCGGGTATACATGATTTCCGTATCTAAGGAAAACTGAGGACGCGCCTGTCAACCATTGTTTTAACAACAAAGCTCACTATCAGTACTTTAGTTGATAATTTCCTCCATTATAAAGCAAAAATAGTATTAAAACCTTTGTGTTAAGAACCTAAGAATTCAGAGCTTTGTAGATCAAAAGGGAGCCATATGTCTTCTCCGCAAAATTTGCATAAAACTTAAAATTTCGGATTCCTAACTCACTTCCTCAGTCGATCCATCATGACAAAAATAGAATGAAACAAATGAAATCCCCCGCCCAAGTTTTGTATTAGGTACAAAACGGTTCTTTAATTGAACATGGATTTGTACTCAGCTGATCAAACTAGGAAATAGCATTTTTGGAATAAATTCAGTTTTATAGGCATGCATCTATTGAAGCTAACTATTTCAGTTTTAACCATTAACAACAAACTGACGAGAAAAAACGTTAATACGTGGAAAGATAACAGTGCTTGGTTAGTCTCAAATTTACAACAACGGATATTTAAACAAGGTTCGGCAACTTGAGTTATAATGCAAGTGAATCTTTACCCGTTAGACACCGTTTTTTAATTTGTATTTAATGTAGTAAGTCCCTTGTATCCATACGTGATATCGACTGCCTGCATGTATCAGGACGGTAATCGATCATTTTGGTTTGATAGTGCAGCCCTTACCGTGAGAATAGGGAGCTTTAGCAACGATGACGGCGACGGCAACGAAAACATCGTGTCGAAATCCAACTTTTCGTTTTTGTAACTCTTTCGAGGTTATTCCGATGCGTTTCACTTGGAAAATGCTGGCGAACTATTCAGGGACTATATCAGTACGAACGGCGTTAAAGTAAGGAGAAAGAAAGAAAAATTAACCGTCATGCGCTCACGTTCTCGAGAAAACCTAAAGTTTGGTTATTTCACGTTGTTGTTTAGCCGAGAACGGCAAAGAAATGTACCAAAATCTTAAACGCACGAGCAGGGCTATTGTTTTTGGTCATTAAGCCTATTGTTTTCTGCCGTTCTCGTTGCCGTCGCCGTCGTCGTTGCTAAAGCTCCCTAATAGCGACAGATTGACCGATTGTTGGACTATTATTTAGATGTAAAACACGAATGAATTAGTTTATTGTAACGCTCAGCGAGCAAACGGTTTTCATAATTATTCAATGAGTTTGCCTGAGTCTAACTGTTTTTTTTATTGCATAGATTCTTATTGAATGAGTTTGCCTGAATCTAACTCGTTTTTCTATTGCATAGATTCGTTCACGGTTGGTTTAATTCTATGCATGGTATTTTGTATATGTGAATTACGGCCACTAATGTTTGCCATAGACAAGTCCTTCCTTCTTCGCGGATTATTTAAACGTTCTCCGTCGACAGCGACACTAAATTAGCCGTTGATTACCTGCTAAGCGATACTCGCCCAATATACACGCAAGTTATACCTCACTTTTCTAATTGCTCGTGCCCTTTGATTACAAAGGTCATGTTGATCGCTCAGAAACAAGCGTAGTGAAAGATAAATATTTGTCTTACCTTAACTGAACTCCAAATCAGACTGGTGGAACGTCGATACCACAGTTAAACAAACGTCTCAAATACTACCGGCCATCTTGGTCTTATCGCTAGACTCTTCTTTCCTCTGATGTCATTAAAGATGCGGCGCACACCTTTGTTGGTAAGGTGAAAAACAAAGGAGTTTTAGTTTACAGTAATGTTCAGTAATGTTTTAGTTTACATCGTGTTCAGTTGACTTGAGAGAACAGTTAGATGTTTTGAGCAAGCTAAAGAACACGCTATCAGTTTCTTCGAAGATGTGCCTCTATAACTTGTATGTAATGTCTTATTTCACTAACTGTTCTGCGATTTGGCATAATTGCAATGAGTCTGAAAAGCAGAGGCTGGAAAACCTTAATGTGAGAGCTCTAAAGTGTGTCTACAACAAACGGGTGCCCCTTAATGGTGATGACTGCGGCTTTACTTTGTCCAATCGTCGTCTACAGGACATTGCCATACTAATTTTTAAAGCTTTAAACGGTATGTTACCTGGATATATAAGTGACTTGTTCGTTGTACGTAATAATGTGAAGTGCTTGAGAGGCAGCAACAAGCTTGCTGTCCCACGTAAGAAAGCTACAAACTTCGCCTTAAAATCTGCAACTTTTATTGGTGCCAAAGTGGGGAACTCTTAACCGGATGAATTACGTTCAATGGCAGCCCTTAAGGAATTTAAGACTGAATGCTATAAAATAGTTAAATTTGTAATGTCATAATCTTAAGATTTTTAGAATGTTAGTTATTAATTGATTATGTAATGTCCTGTAAAATTTTTAATTTTTTTTTATTATATATTTTTATACTTTGCTCGGCATATTAGCATGTATTGCTAGGGGTCTAGTCAGCCTCAACAACCCGAGTTGAAATAAAGTTACCTACCTACCTTACCTCTGTTTAACGTACTGACCCATGCTTTTCTCTGTGTTTCTGGGACTGACCGCGTAACTCTTACGATCGAGAGCGGGAACGTGACCTGTTGATGAAGTTTTCCCCATGGACAGAGGTAATGCGACAATGCTTAAAGAGCAGGAGGGAAAAGACTGCACAGATGGACCAGACGGCGCGATATAGGCGCGGACCGAAATCACGAGTGATTTCAATCGATGAGAGATGTAAAGATACACAATCGGACGATTGATGGACATGTCACGCCTGATAGATATTTTTAAAACACAATAGTTAGCTTCCGGTCGTCCAAGTCCTTCGGAGCTGCATAATGCTGCATGGTTAGTTAAAAAATCAACTCACAGTATACCGTTTACGAGACCTCAGGACTTGAGGTGCTCTTTCGACATGTCCAATGGGTTTGATCCCCAATCCAAGGCCTCTGATCCCACATACCTCATATCTCGTGACGACCCTGACGTTTAGGTAACGCTCGCTGTTATTAACTGAGATGGCATCGATGTTTACAATCCTTTGTGGTTATTTCACTCTTGGAAATGCCCTTCTTATACTGCTCTTCTTACTGCTGTTACATAACCAGTTTGTGCTGTACGAGTTCCGTAGAATGCCACCTGGTCCTCGCTTCACAACTCTTCCAGTGTTAGGAAATGTATTGTCCCTCGATCTAAGAGCGGAAAAAGCCACAGAAGCTTTTAAAAGGTGCGTTAAGAGCAGAGGTGGTGTGTTTTGTTTCTTTTATTCAAACTTACCCTTCGTCTATTGATCAACATAATGGCCACGTCTGTTCTAAGATTCGTTTGGAATACGAAATTAAGAATTCGTCGACTCGTCGTCTAGTCAAAACACCAACAGTAGAGTTGAGTCGTTCAACTCTGATGCACATGCATGGAGTTCAGAGGTGAAGATGTTTTCAATAAACTGTCCATTTTGATGCAAAAAAGAGCAGGTAGAGAATAGTATTACGATGTTTGAAGAAACAAACAATCAAAGATATATCTGATCACGCTTCTATGACGTAAACTAATGAGGATAAAATTTGCATTTTGACTAAAACTGATCATCGACAATATTCCATCAAGACCTTGTATATAACTTTTATTATCAACGTTTCCTATGATATGAGGCGAGTCACCATTTTAGGGGAATGTCTATTTTTATTGTCATATGGAGTTTGTATCAAATACAAAGATTAATGTAAATCGTTCATATGAAACTAATCATATTGCTAGAGTGGGATTTCGCTGGCATTTCAATCACCTAGAGTTAGCGTGACAATCGTAAAAGAAGAACCCGTCGTGAAAATCGCAAATTTAGGCCACACGGTGGTTGTCCACCGAAAATACTTACCTGGTCTTATTTCCCTCCAAACACGTACCAAGGTATTTGTTCTAGTTATTAAGGAAGGTGATCAAACTTTAGATACGGTAGTTATAATTAGTACGTCGGAAAATTGGATGAGCATTTTCATTCATATTTTATGCTGTGCGAACATAATTCACATGATGGCCATTGCTTTACCGAACACCATACTTATGCTTTTGTTATTTGTTAGCCTTAGAAAAAAATATGGTCGAGTCTTCTCTTTGAAAATTGGAAGCTACAAGGTTGTGATGGCGTCAACTCCAGAGGCTATTAGGGAGATGCTCGTAACAAAATCTACCGATTATGCAGGGAGACGACAAGCTTATTCTCTTCATGAAGGATCACTAGGTGGGTATAAATTGCAAAGTGTGTTAGGAAGAGTACACTTATGGCGCTGAAAAGCGACAGATCCGGCTTAACCTAACATTAGTATACATAATTTTCATGCTGTTCTCTATACTTTACCTGGGGTGCTGACAATGGTAATAATCAAGAGCTTCTTTAGTTAGGTGGTGATATTGTAAGGAGAAATTAGATGATAGACTCTCTCTCTTTCACTGCTATGAGTGACCAAGACAGAATTTCTCCTTACAATATCAATACAATATCAAGCAAACAAGCGATAAGGGGATAATTAGCTGATCCAATATCATGCAATTTCTCCGAACTAATGTTATAAGAATTGTGTGGCAGACAGAAAGGAGAATTATTATTGCGATCTCGGCAGTGAAAGGCTCTGAAACGGAATAGTCTAAAAAAAGATATTTGACCTTTGGTCTTCATATCACTCCCGGCAGTATGTACCGAGCGTTTCAAACGTAGTTTTATTCCATCTATGCTTTTCAGACAATAAATAGTGTACATTACCTCGTTTTTAATTTATTAGGATACCTTTGATTGTAAATATATATATATATATACATGTATATGTCACATTGTAATACATGTTTACATATTTATTATCTACTATTATTTAGTATGCTTGTAAATCAGTGGTTTTTCAATACTGGTACTGCCAGAACTGATGATATTGAATAAACCTATTATTACGTACGGATGCACGATCCTCGCAGTAGAGAGCGCTATTTATGCGATAGCGAAAATCAGACCTGAAAAAAATCAGGCCTGTACGGGATTCGAACCACTGACCTCTGCGATACTAGTGCAGCGCTCTACCAATTGAGCTAACAAGCCAACTGGGAGCAGGCCGTTAAGTTGATTCGTAATAAACCCGTAATGATAAATCAGATACAATGAATATATGAAGTTCATATATTTAGAACTGCGGTATTAGAACTATACTATAACTATTACTATTACTTATTATCATTATTATTATTATTATCATTATTATTTTTACTTTTAACTTGTAAATAGTTATTTGCTTTGAGTGTTAATAAAATTATTATTATCTTATTATTATTACTATTATTATTATTATTATCGTGTAATCTGACAGTTTTCATGTCCAAAACAAAACACTGTTAAGAGGACAGAGTAGGTCAGTCACCCTTTAACTCCCATGGGTGACCAAGCCAGAATTTCTCCTAAGAATTTCTACACAATATCAAGACAAGTAATGAGAATAAAGGAAAATATCAAGTAGGGAAGACCCAATATGCAATTCTCCAAGCTATTATAATTGTAGTATATTGTATGACATACAGGAAAGAGAATTACAGTGGCGGATCCTGGGGGAGGGTCCGGGGGGTCCGGACTCCCCCTATCAAACCTGACGATTACAACTTTGAGACAGGATCGTTTATCACTTTTAACTGGCTGATTTTTTTAATGAATCCAAATAAACAGTGAGCGGTTAAGGGATTATAACGTGCAACCGCGACTGACGGAAGGGGGTGTGGGGGAGAAGTAATTTACCTCAAAGAGTCCAACAGTCCTTTCTGAACCAAAGTTTGGACCCCTCCTAATCAAAAATTCCTGGATCCGCCTCTGAAGTACCAATGAGATCTTAGGAGTGAAAAGCGTTAAGAGTTATGAAATATTTTGAAATTGCGCCTATCCATTTCAGCAAGCTCCCAGGGCGTAGTTGTCATTTTCTAATGTATTCGTGTCGTTGTATTTTTGAAGGAGGTAAAGATATCGTGTTCGGTAACTATGGTCCTGCCTGGAAGTTCCATCGGAAGCTCTTCACAACAGCCCTGCGTCAGTACTTATCCAACAACCCTTTGATAGAAAACCTCGTTTCAACGAAGGCTGAGAAAATTGTTCAGTTCATGGAAAAGCAAAATGAAGAACCGTTCGACCCCTCAAATTGCTTGCGGAATGCAGTTTCAGATGTTATTTGTGGCATCACATTCGAAGAAGGCTTTGACACAACCAATCCATACTTGAACAAACTTTTAAAACTTAACGTAGATCTAGTCGGAGATGTCGCAAATTGTCAGCTGGTCAACTTCTTAGATTTCTTTCCGTTGGCGAAGTACTTGTCCCTCAATGCCTACAATCGCTTTTTTCAGACTGTGTTTGCAATGTATGATATTATTCGCCTTTTCCCTAAAGAACGAAAAGAGAAGTTTGATCCAGATGAACCAGTAAAGGATTTAATCTCGGGCCTATTGTCTGCCAAGCACAAAGCAGATTGTAAGGGTGACCAACAAAGATTAGCTCTTTTATCTGATGATCACTTTGTCTGCAGTATAGAAGACATGTTTGGCGCCGGTCATGAAACCACAAGCACGACACTGAAATGGGCGATTGCTTTCTTGGTCAATTACCGGGAATACCAAGAGGATACTCAAAAGCAGCTAGATGAAGTACTTGGCGAAAGAAGTCCCTCTCTTAACGATCGCCCAAATTTGCCCCTAGTTCAAGCAGCCATCGTCGAAACGTTACGAGTTGGGAATACAGCTCCCCTAGCTGTGCCTCACCTCACCATCACTGATACGACGCTCTGTGGGTATTTCATTCCCAAAGACACAATCGTGATACCTGACACGGAATCCGTCCATCTCGATCCTGCCTGCTGGGAAAGTCCTACCGTGTTCAACCCTTACCGTCATATTGATGAGCATGGTAAAGCTATCGCCAACCAGGAAAATTTCTACCCCTTTTGGAGCCGGACGTCGCGTTTGTGCAGGAGAGTCACTCGCTAAGGTTGAATTATTTTTGTTGTTATCGTGGATGCTTCAAAAGTTTACTTTTGTCGCCAGTGAAAGTGGCCATCCCCCCAGCTTGAAGGGAATATTTAACACACAACAGTCTCCGGCTCCTTACAATATACGTGCGATAAAGAGGTAGCTAAAAACAAAACGACATGGCAAGGAACGCAAAGGAAGAGTTTAAAAAACGTTTAAAAAACGTTAGTATGCGCACTAAAAATAGATTATAATCAGAAGGGTTTTTTAAGCTCTCGATATGTTTGACTAGCCAGGCGCGTAGAAAGCCGGTCGGGGAAGGTAGGGGAAGTCAAGTACCTTCCGAGAAAAGTTTGTACGCCTCAGCTTAAAGGTAGCTTCGCGCCTGCTAGCAAAGTGGAGTCCAATCATTTCGAACACCCGGGGAATATCACGATTCTCTTGAGAAAAAAAATACATGAATATTTATCACAAAATGACTCACATGTCATAAGAAATTGATTGACCTCTGCATATGCTGCTGTCGACTTCGTATAAACTAAAATTGTTTATCGATAAACGAATCAGTTGATATAGGTGTGATTACCGACTTTCTTTTTCCTGCGCAGTTTAGTTTTGTCGGTCCTGTCTGTGGATCTTTGGATTCGTTACGAAGGATTTATTGGCTCGTCAGCTTTGAAGCCCCTACATACCTGTGTTTTGTTAATAGTAAAATACTGCTCATCGTACTTATCGTTCGAAATGATTATTTAGTAGTGTCATTCTGAGGTAAAGTCATTTTCGCATGTAGAGTGAAGCTATCAACTGAGGATCTCGATGTTTCGGCTATTACATCGCTAGTCCTCGCCAGGCTTTTTTTTTTTTTTTTGTCTTTTTGTATTATTCGTTGCTCAGACCTTTCAATAACCCGACATAATCAATAATTTCAATGTTGTAAGACGGATGGATACAGCAGATAGTTTTGTTTTATAATTAAATTGAATACATGAAATGGATTGGATATTTAATAAATGGTCTGTACAAGATTTTCCCAAGTAAGGGAAAGTTAAATAAGCTGTCGAACTCCCATGTTTGCGTAGATATACCCTCAAAATATGAACTGTCAATTTAACGATAAATTGATGTACTATACCGGTGGAAACAACACAAATTGGAAGCACATACATAGTTAAGTCTCTTAGTCAACTACGTCAGCGCTAAGTCCACTATTTTCAATGCCATTTTAAATTAGAGGCGTTTTCATTATGCCTCATTATACTGGAGCGTATTCGGGAATGGAGTTTATCCTACAACAACGCTCAGTTGCGGTGGAATGTAAAAAAATAACAAATAAAAGTTTAAACTAATATAATCAAATCTCTTCACACCACTCGCTCGAAGTAAACTGGTGGCTCTATATACTAGATTCTTCAACACCTTTAAGAGAGTCATGAGCATCAGTGTCGACCTCCAATTCTTCTATTGTCGAAGGATTACTTCAAAAAATGGATTTCGCACGTGCTCACTATCCTTCAGGGTCTGTCGTTGAGTGATATTTAAACCAGAGGCGAGAGACGTAAAATATTTCGATTTTTACACGTTCCTCCCCTGGCACTACACTACAGTTTACAAATCAATGTTGTTGTAACTTAATAACCTCACCTCACCCCGCCTAACGGACCCCAAAAACATCCTCACATCACTCGCCCCCACCCCCACTATCAGCTCCAGTCACGCAGAATTTCTTCAATTCCTTCGATTATGCGTGACAAGAGCAACACTCATAATTGCTACAATGGCGTCGGTGACTTCCACGATATATGACTTCATCACCATAGGGAATGTTTTTCTACTTTTCTTTTTCCTGCTCATTCTCCATTATCTCATGGTGTTGTACGAGTTCAGGAGCATGCCTCCGGGTCCGCGATTGACGACTATCCCAGTTTTGGGGAACATATTCTCCCTCGACTTCAAAGCAGATTTACTCTCGGACGCTTTCAAAAGGTAAATAAACTTTGAATCGCATGGCTCAAGCGGTCTTAGGACTTTTTCGATGAAAAATATAAAAGGATCGCATAGGATCTGCTTCAAAATTTTCTTCAGAAGCGCTATTTTAAAATTATCCTAGTGGAGGTACCACTTTCTAGAACGGGTCTGAAATCTTAACTCATGACGGCATGGACAATTGTTACAAAACAAATAAGACCATAACGACATGGCTTGTACTGATTGTTTGGATTGAAACAGAAATCAGCATCCTTTTAAGAAATCTGGCTAAAAACTACAAGGATTCTTCACAAGTATCACTGATATCTTTTGCAGCAATTTAATGGTTGTACGACGGTAAATGGTCCACTCTGCTTTCGTCAACACGAAATTTAATCTTCAGTTTGAATTTGCATTTTAGATAAGTTGCTTCTCACACCAAGGGGGTCACTTCGCTTTATAATAATAATAGTAAAGCATTTATATAGCGCTAAGCTCGACTAGTTCTCCGTAGCTTTACAAAGTTATAGACCAATTAACATAGCAATTAAATTATAAAAAATGCGTCTTTGAATAAGTATGTTTTAAGGTTCTTCTAAGGTGCTTTAGTAGTTCTAGATCTTGGGGCTTTTGCTTTCTTTCTTTATCTTTGAACAAAAACTTAGAGTTACAAATACCCTTTTTTAAAACGCCGATTTTGATGTAAAGACGATTAGTAACCCTTCTGGGAAAGAATGTGTGATCCACCGAAATCAAAAGGATTAGGAAAAGAATTGTGATAAGTACTTCACGATCTACTTCTCTTTCGAGCTTCGGTTCTAAAGGAAGCACGCCAATTATTTAATGTACACAGGCGAAAAATGCATGGAAGCAAACCACAGGTCTCTCTTCGCGGCAGTTGTTTGCTCCTGATTTATGCTCACAGAGGTCACGTTGAGGAAAGAATAAAGAGAGCGTGACCTCCAAGGACGAGCTTCAGCGTTGCCTAACGAGACTGGGAAACAGCCGTGGAATACGAAAAAACGACAATCTTTTTCTCGTTCGTTATCAAAACAACGTGCTTTCTACGATCGTCTGTCAATCAACGCTTATCTTTGGGATGAATGAAAGCAAACAAATATACCGTTTGAAAGGATGACCATGCCTTCCTCTCACGCCTTAGATCATTCTTTCAACAGGTATAACTGTTTCATTCATCCCATTGATCGATTTTCTGCACCTCACCACACAATCCCTAAACGCGTAGTTTCTGTCCTCTCTTGCAGTCTCAGAGACAAGTACGGTAACGTTTTCTCCATAAAACTCGGAAGCCATAAGTTCGTGATGGCCTCATCCTCCGAAGCCGTTCAGGAGATGCTTGTTAAGAAATCAGGGGATTATGCGGGAAGACAACAAACATATTTTGTGGAAAAATTGACCCTTGGTAAGAAAGCTTCATTTTGTAAATCTCTTAGAACCACTTTAAATGCCTTTGAATTTGTAACATTATAGCAGAATAAGGCTGGATCGTGTCCCATCGATCAGACAAAAAGTTGCTCGAAGGTCAATCGGATTAGAAAATCTTTTCGATCTCAAGATAACATCTAATTTTAACTTACACAGGCGGCAAAGATATTGCGCTTGGTAATTATGGCCCAGCTTGGAAGTTTCATCGGAAACTCTTCATTACCGCCCTACGCCAGTACCTTTCCGACGTACCACTGATTGAAAGCCGTGTCTCAACACAGGCAGAGAAGCTTGTGAAGTTCTTGGAAGATCAGAGTGGAAAACCTTTCGATCCTGCAGACTGTTTTCAGCACGCTGTTGCTAACGTCATTTGTGGTATAACGTTTGGGGAAGGCTACGACACAACAGACCCAAGGTTGAACAAGTTACTTAAACTTAACGTGGACATTGTAGCGGATACTGAGAGTAATCAGACAATTCTCATGTTGGATTTCTTCCCATTTGCAAGATACTTACCAGTCAAGGCTTATGATAAACTTCTTAAGCCCATGTATGAAATATTCGATATTATCCGCGTATTCCTGAGACAGAAGAAAGAAAATTTTGATGCAGAAGAACCCGTTAAAGATTTAATCACTGGACTACTGCTCGCCAAACACCGTGCTGAGTTGGAGAGTGATGAAGTGAAGGACGCTTTTCTTTCCGATGACTACTTAGTCAACACTATCGAGGACATGTTTGCTGCTGGCTACGAAACTACAAGCACCACGATGAAATGGGTAATAGCCTTCTTGGTAAACAACCCAAAGTACCAGGAGGATATTCAACACCAGTTGGATGAGGTAGTTGGTGAACGGAATCCCTCTCTCGAAGATCGTCCTAATCTGCCCCTGATTCATGCAATCATCATAGAAACGCTACGGCTTGGAAACGTAGTGCCTCTTGCCGTGCCTCACTTCACACTTACCGACACTACAATGTGTGGCTACCGTGTTCCAAAAGATACGATCGTCTTCGCTGATACAGAATCTGTCCATCTGAATCCCAAGTGTTGGGAAAACCCCACAGAGTTTAATCCTTACCGTCATATCGACGAGAATGGCAAGCTAATCACCAACCAGGGCAATTTCTACCCTTTTGGGGCTGGACGACGGGTCTGTGCAGGCGAACCACTGGCCAAAGTTGAGCTGTTCCTGTTTCTGTCGTGGATGTTCCAGAAGTTCAATTTTGTCCCTGAAGAAGAGGGTCATCCTCCAAGCTTGAAGAGAGAATTTAGCGGCACTCAGTTTCCGTCTCCTTATAAGATCCGCGCTGTCAAAAGGAAATGAGTAGACGGTCTCAACCATCGTTGCTATGAATAAGCCATTTCTTTTACCCGCGATTTTTGTAACAGAGCAGTTTTTTATATACATTATTGTAGCCTTGTATCGCAAAATCTAATATCCTACACAGCTTTGATCTAAACTGAAACTTCATTGCAATTTTATTATTTTTTCGGTGAGTTACTTACAAACATTTTATTGCTGATCTCGCTTTGTTTTGTCGGATCTTAGCTGGGACTGTATGAAGATTTAGGGTGAAACTTTCTAAAGATTTAACATTTTTTAGGAGAATGCTTGAAATACAAGCTCTGCTTTACGTGATTCGTTAGTTAGTGTGACTTGGTGGACGATAGACAAAGACTTACTTATAAACAGAAGAATGAGGCAGATGAAGAGCTCTTTCTACACAACCTGAGTCATTCTTTCAAGCGTAGATGTGTTTTAGCGTATTTGTGAGGTAATAAAGACTGTAAACGCAAAACAAAGTGAGAGAGAGCTTCAGAGGGTTAGAGAAAGCAAGAAAGATTCTTTAAACAAACGACAACCATTGTGAAGTTTAAAAAAAAAAAAATGCATGTCATGAAACAAATGTTGCTTGAAGAGAGAGTTGTCCAATACACTCAAACTGAGTCGATTCGTCTAAGACAGTTTGCGAATCGTCTTACCGGAAGTCGATTTGCGGTTAAGTAGTCTCCTGATTCCGGAAATCTTAATAACCCATCTTTCATGAGATCGAAACGCATATCTGAAGTTCATTTGCAAGACATTTAGGAACTGAAATATTTCGCAAGTGGCTAAGAAGGGGTGAAAGGGGGATTGAAGATGTTGTCGAATCGACTCGCTTCGACACGAATCGAACGACTCATCTCAGTTGAAGTCGACCCGTTAAACCGGAAGTTGATTTGCAAGACACTTTGAAAATATTCTGCAAGTGGCTGCGAAGAGGGGTTGAAATTGTTGTGAAATCGAATCGATTCGACTCGAGGCGAAAGACTCGTTTCAGTTGAAGTCGACCCGTCATAGCGGAAGTCTATTTGCGAGACACTTAGAAAATACTCCACAAATGGCTTCGAAGAGAGGTTGAAAATGTTGTCGAATCAAACGACTTATCGAAGTCAGAAGTCGCCCCGTCATACCGGAAGTCGATTTGCAATACACTTGGAAAATATTCTGCAAGTGACTGCGAAGAGGGGTTGAAAATGTCATCGAATCGACTCGAATTGAAGGACTCGTTAAGAATGAAGTCTACAAATCTCACGATTTTCCTAAAGCTTACGCCAAAACTG